CTATATTGACTGCGGCATGAAAACTTTTGTAATAGTTGAAGACGTTCATCTACTTTAACTTTCAAATATAGGCACCGATAATGGATAAAAATCAATTGCAGGCACTTCTACAAAGTAAACAACATATATGTTCAAGGTTATTACTTATACAAAATAGTTATACTTATAAATTTTGAGCAGGGTTCTTTTTCATTAAACGAATCACTGGCTTGTCTTAAAATGGGAATATTACCGGTAACTGTCTTAATCATGATTATTATCAAATGTTGCATTCCACTAGCACATTTGGTGTTGTCTGGCATAGCTAAGGAACTTCTGTATAGCTAATGTACTTCTTAATCTTGAAAACCAGTTTCATCAAATAAACTGCTTAATGCAGAGGAAATTCCAATCCAATGACTTTTGCATTTTGCTTAGGTGTCAAACTTCTGGCAGATTCAACTATATTGACTGCGGCATGAAAACTTTTGTAATAGTTGAAGACGTTCATCTACTTTCACTTTCAAATATAGACACCAACATAGAGGAAATTCCAATCCAATGACTTTTGCATTTTGACAGCCAAAATATCCCTCGAGCTTATGCTTAGATGCTAAACTTCTGCCAGATTCTACTATATTGACTGCGGCATGAAAACTTTTGTAATAGTTGAAGACGTTCATCTACTTTAACTTTCAAATATAGGCATCGATAATGGATAAAAATCAATTGCAGGCACTTCTACAAAGTAAACAACATATATGTTCAAGGTTATGACTTATACAAAATAGTTATACTTACTTATAAATTTTGAGCAGGGTTCTTTTTCATTAAACGAATCACTGGCTTGTCTTAAAATGGGAATATTACCGGTAACTGTCTTAATCATGATTATTATCAAATGTTGCATTCCACTAGCATATTTGGTGTTGTCTGGCATAGCTAAGGAACTTCTGTATAGCTAATGTACTTCCCCCAGTGCCCAGATATGGAAGCATAGTGTACTTCTGAATGTCCTTTTCAACTGCGGGTACATGATTTGATCCGCTGAATTTGTTAGCTTAAACTTCTGTTTACATTTTCATAAGAACATACATAACCAATGTCACTCTTGTCTAATTTTGATTAGAGTTCTGCTTGTTTTTCGGCCTTCTTTTTCTTTTCTAGTTCCTGTTTCATAGATTCCTTTCCAATGACGTTTTGACATCGTTGTGGTGTCAACTTCGCGTTGCTTTACGGACTCTTTTCACCACTTTATTGACACTTTTTAGAATGAGCTTACAACTGAATGGACCATACCATGCTTTTCTTCGATGTTAACGGGCCATTTATGTGTTGTTATATTTTGAGCCTAATGATTTTCAGTCATATTTTTTTAAATATTTATGCAAAATTTGGTTTAATAATTTCTTGGGACAAGTGACAGCTTCACTTTCTTAATGAATCTGTTTCATTCTAAATCATTATTGGTAGAAGATTTACACAATACAATGCGTTTAATTCATATATGGACAATATAGTTGAAGACGTTCATATACTTTCACTTTGAAATATAGGCACCAACGTAGAGGAAATTCCAATCCAATGACTTTTGCATTTGGCAGCCAAAAGATCCCTCGAGTTTATGCTTAGATGCTAAACTTCTGCCAGATTCTACTATATTGACTGCGGCATGAAAACTTTTGTAATAGTTGAAGACGTTCATCTACTTTCACTTTCAAATGTAGAAGTGCCTGCAATTGATTTTTATCCATTATCGGTGCCTATATTTGAAAGTTAAAGTAGATGAACGTCTTCAACTATTACAAAAGTTTTCATGCCGCAGTCAATATAGTAGAATCTGGCAGAAGTTTAGCATCTAAACATAAGCTCGAGGGATCTTTTGGCTGCCAAAATGCAAAACCGTTGATGTTGCACAAACAAAAAAAACGATATTAAGGAACTTCTGTATAGCTAATGTACAATGCGTTTAATTCATATATGGACAATATAGTTGAAGACGTTCATATACTTTCACTTTGAAATATAGGCACCAACGTAGAGGAAATTCCAATCCAATGACTTTTGCATTTTGGCAGCCAAAAGATCCCTCGAGCTTATGCTTAGATGCTAAACTTCTGCCTGATTCTACTATATTGACTGCGGCATGAAAACTTTTGTAATAGTTGAAGACGTTCATCTACTTTCACTTTCAAATATAGGCACCAACGTAGAGGAAATTCCAATCCAATGACTTTTGCATTTTGGCAGCCAAAAGATCCCTCGAGCTTATGCTTAGATGCTAAACTTCTGCCAGATTCTACTATATTGACTGCGGCATAAAAACTTTTGTAATAGTTGAAGACGTTCATCTACTTTAACTTTCAAATATAGGCCCCGATAATGGATAGAAATCAATTGCAGGCACTTCTACAAAGTAAACAACATATATGTTCAAGGTTATGACTTATACAAAATAGTTATACTTACTTATAAAAATTTTGAGCAGGGTACTTTATCATTAAACGAATCACTGGCTTGTCTTAAAATGGGAATATTACCGGTAACTGTCTTAATCATGATTATTATCAAATGTTGCATTCCGCTAGCATATTTAGTGTTGTCTGGCATAGCTAAGGAACTTCTGTATAGCTAATGTACTTCCCCCAGTGCCCAGATATGGAAGCATAGTGTACTTCTGAATGTCCTTTTCAAATGCGGATACATGATTTTATCCGCTGAACTTGTTAGCTTAAACTTATGTTTAAATTTTCATAAGAACATGTTATTTTAATTTTGACTCAACTAAGGTATAGAAAAAGAAAGAAAAACAAATATAAAAAATACAAATAGCATACATAACCAATGTCACTCTTGTCTGATTCTGATTAGAGTTCTGCTTGTTTTTCGGCCTTCTTTTTATTTTCTAGTTCCTGTTTCATAGTTTCCTTTCCAATGACGTTTTGACATCGTTAAGGTGTCAACTTCGCGTTGCTTTACGGACTCATTTCACCACTTTATTGACACTTTTTAGAATTAGCTTACAACTGAATGGACCATACCATGCTTTTCGTCGATGTTAACGGGCCATTTATGTGTTGTTGTATTTTGAGTCATATTTTTTTTTAATTATTTATGCAAAATTTGGTTTAATAATTTCTTGGGACAAGTGACAGCTTCACCTTCTTAATTAATCTGTTTCATTCTTAATCATTATTGGTAGGGGATTTACACAATACAATGATTTTACATTCTTATTGAAATTTTCATATTTTCTTTTTGTTTCGTTTCTATTTTCAACAAAAGAAAAAAACAAAACTACGTTCTGTCATAGTTGAATTTGTTCAACTTTGAAAATTCGTACGTCGACGTATTTCGGTAACATTCATACAAATACATGTGTTCTACTTTTGTGGTGAATAACGTCGAACGCCCTAGTTGAATTTTAGGTAGTGCTCTTCAATTCATATATGGACAATATTGTCAATTTTTTAATATTCCATTTTCAAAATATCGTTTTTTTTTTTTGTTTGTGCGACATCAACGGTTTTGGTACCAAAAAAAATTTTCGCGAAAAATAATACAAATATAGAAACTTACATCATTATTTTATCCACGAGAATATATGCTTCTCTTTTCCTTTGACATTTTTGAAGGTTGTCAGCGTTGCGAATAAAATAACTTTTGGGCGGATTATAATCGTTAAGAATATTTGAAGAAAATTCTTTATAACCGAAAAAAAATGAAAAGAATTTGGGACCGAATAAATACTTCGATATAAGAGTAAAGATTTGTATGAAAAATATGTCTTAAAAATTCGTAAACACTTTTAGCCAAATTTAATTTAATTTTAATTTAATTTCAATTTATTTCATAAACGAGAATCTAGCCCAAAGGGCCAAAAGCGATTCAAAAAACAACAAAATATAAACTACTCCAAAAGCTTAAAACTAACAGTGTATTAGCTTAATGATATCTTAACGTCTATTCAGTTGGAGGGGTTCAGAACCATTGTAAACCATTCAAAAACATTTTTATTATTATTACATTATTTGATGTAGCAACCTCTCACATAGGCCAAAGGACTTCAATATTATATCTACTCTCAACCACTAAATTTAATTTGCAGGTTCAAATATCTTATTATATCACAATTATCAATATAAAAAATATAATTTATTATAGTTATATTTATTTAAATGTTGAAATCAGTTATGCAATAAAAATACAAACAAATAAGCAAAACCCATAAATTTAAGATGAATTGAGGTTGAAGTAATCGTATAAATGAGTTCGATAACATTTTAAGGAAGAGTTAAATGTTTTAAGAGAAGGCGGTAAGGTGTTAACAATTCTAGAAATTCGTACAAAAAAGGCTTTTTCCAATAAAGGACACAAACGCGGAACAAGTATTTGTATGTTTCTAACAGATCTAGAAAACATAAACAAATCAACTACAGAGGAAGGAGTCTGAAACTTAAATACCTTATAGAACAACAACATTGACCTTAAACTCACAAAACTTTCAAAGGTACAACCGAGGAACTCTTTAACGTAAGGAGAAATGTGATCACGACGTTTAACACAATATACATATCGCATAACCCTATGCAAATTTCGTGTTTTTGGCAAGCTAAATCCCGCCGTTCTAGTAGTTCGGCTTCAACCATATTAACAAATTGGGAATATTGTACATATATCGATGAATAATACGTTTTTCAGTCATGTTTGCACTTTTTTTATAAAAAATATAATTCCGATAATAGAAATTTCGAACCAAAATTGTTCTATTTTGCGAGGGTTTGCTCTATATTCGCGAGAATATGGAGCGGACAGGTTATGGAATCATATGGATCACGTTACAAAAACATTAATCACAAAATTATATTTAAAAGCAAAAATAGAGTGGTTGTAATTTAATATAGGTTTATTTAGAAACAATACAAATATCTGAATAGTAATTGCTACTGCAACGTAATCGTCAATTTCTAATTCGTTTACAGTGTATTAAAATTCATAATGAAATCCATATAAAATATTTTTTAATTGTCGTCTTGGCTGTGTTTCTTCTTTTCATGCTTTCTGCCAACCAAATCATATTTACAGTTGTCATCACATCCGTGAGGCTCATCTTCACTACCACTACTTATTTCAGAATCGCTAGATTCATTATATGGCCCTAAACCAGGCAAAATAGCAACACACTTGAAATGGCCAACGTCTAATTCTGTTGTATTAATATTTTTTAAACTTTTGGGATTTTTTTCACTTTGCTTTGGATCGCTTTCTTCATTAGTTGTTGGTTTTATTACTTTACTTACACCAACTGCGGAAGAAGGTACACTTTCGCCGTTTTTGCGTTTGATGCCTATTCCAAGCAGAGACTTTTGTGAGGGTCGTGCAGTAGAGGTTAGGGGGCGTACTTTAGTTTTGAGTTCGCTCTGGATTTTCTGCAATATATTAATTCTTAAAGAGGAATAAAATATTTTGGATTATTAGCACATACTTTATTTTCTGATTCTTCCTGGAGCGATGTAACTCTGTTTCTAAAATCCTTAAGTTCTCTCTCTTCTTCGAGTAGTTTTTCTTTTTCAATTCCAATTTTATTTTTATCTACTAACTCGAGGAAACTTACTTCGTCGTCATCGAGTCCCCGGATAAGATTTTCTATAATGGTTATGAAAAATATTTAATTATTAATACATAACAAGTTTATAAAATTCTACTGAATACACATATACACGTAACGTAGTTGACAATACATGTGGAAATATATTTGCATTTAACTTTGACCGGTTGAAAAACTCTTAGAAATATTAACAGAGAAACCAAAGACTTAAGAATATTTTCACCGTTCGAGTTTCTTTCTTTAGACTTGAACATAGGCAAATAAATCCGTAGAAAATTACCGATTAATTTTAAAAGTCCATTTAGCCCATTTAAAGTTCTTAATAGTTATTTACTGTTAGAAAATAACTAGTAAATTAGTTAATTTCGGCGATATTGATTATTTTATTGTTATATACTGCCGTAGCTTAATGATGAATCAATTCATTCGTGGGTCAATATAAAATAGCGATTTTAAAGCGTTAGTTGCCCATTGTCCATCCATTGGAGGCTTAGCATTCCTGTTACACAGACCTAACTCGATTACACTATTCTGCCCGGTACAGACCTATATCCATCAATAGACCAACCGCACATAAGCCCTTCTTTATTACTTTAAAACGCCATACTTTCCTTAACCATGGAATTTACCAATCGTCACATATACACGTAACGTAGTGGACAATACATGTGGAAATATCAGGGACCGAAAATAACAGTTATTTTTTAAAATGCGAACAAAAAATCTTCATGTTAGAGACATGGGACACCAATAGTGTCATATACCAATAGATTCGTACTGAGGAGCCCATTAAGGATATTGAGTGATCTTGAGAAAACACTCTCAGTTCCCATGTTAAGGATTATTTTTTAACGGAAAAAATAAACGTTGATTTTTAACTGTTAAAAATGATTTTTATTTTTTCCGTCAAAAATAAAAGTCTTTTTGCGATTTTTATTTTTTCCGTCAAAAATAAAAGTCTTTTTGGGACTTTTATTTTTTCCGTCAAAAATAACAGTCTTTTTGGGACTTTTATTTTTTCCGTCAAAAATAAAAGACTTTTTGGGATTTTTATTTTTTCCGTCAGAAAATAAAAGTCTTTTTGGGATTTTTATTTTTTCCGTCAGGAAATAAAACTCTTTTTATGTAAAGAAGTTTATACAACTTGTAATCAGTTATAAAATTACAATTTATAAATCTCTGTCCTTATTACAATAAGTGTACACATAAGTAATCAAGATCAAAGGTAAAAAATATTTGTTATAAATTTTTAAAAAATAGTCTAGTGTACCAAATCATGAATATAAATTAAAGAATCATTCCCCTGACTATTAGGTCAAAGGTTATATAACTGGTACCAAACTCTATATGTTTATTTACGTAAAAATACTTTTATTTTCTGTCGGAAAAAATAAAAATAACAAAAAGACTTTTATTATTGACGGAAAAAATAAAAATCATTTTTAACAGTTAAAAATCAACGTTTATTTTTTCCGTTAAAAAAATAAATAATTAAAGTGGATTTTTTTATTTAGGTCACATAATAAAGTTATTTTTTACTTTTATTTTTGACGGAAAAAATAAAAATCATTTTTAACAGTTAAAAATCAACGTTTATTTTTTCCGTTAAAAAAATAAATAATTAAAGTGGATTTTTTTGAAGAACACATCCAGAAGTCCACTGTCGAAGAAGTGAAAAGTGCTATATTCTTTTCGGTCTTACCAGATGAAACTACAGATATTTTCGAAATGAGCAGCTATTAATATGTATAAGATTTTTCGACAAGGTATCTTAAAAGTCAAGGAATATTTCCTTTGCTACGTGGAAGTATTTCGAGAAGCAAATAAATCTTTAAAACGATTACATTCATATTGTGAAACACGATGGATTGAAAGGCATGGTATAACTATTTAACTAATCTACAGAAAATATAATAGAATCATTATTTCTAATAAGTAAGAAATGGATGTAAGATCACACAATTCTTATTATACATTGCTGTAATGTTAATCGTATCGCGACACTTATGCACACGTTAGGTATTTTCAATATTAATATGTGAGATTAGACTTCTGTTTTTAGATTGTTGTGGTGCAGTAAATTCTCGTCATTTTAGGTATTTTCAATATTAATATGTGAGATTAGACTTCTGTTTTTAGATTGTTGTGGTGCAGTAAATTCTCGTCATTTTATAGTAGGTGTAGCAGTAACACCTCGCTTTCTTGAGTACACCCTACATTTATCCCAGTTTCTTCAGACTATTAATATGGACATTGTCAATGCATATGATCACATACATTTAGTAGTTGATAACTAAAATGCTATACGACAAAATAGTGTCGAGGAGTTCCACAAAAAATGCGTCGAAACAAAAATTATTGCCGACAAATTTTGTATAGAAGTTTCGAACTCCAAATCCTTTTATAGAACTACATTGTTTGTCCCATATATGTACATTTTCCAAGCAGATTTCTGAAAATGTTAAAGTAGTTAAAACACTATCAAATGTATAGTAGGTGTAGGAGTAACACCTCGCTTTCTTGAGTACACCCTACATTTATCCCAGTTTCTTCAGACTATTAATGTGGACATTGTCAATGCATATGATCACATACATTTAGTAGTTGATAACTAAAATGCTATACGACAAAATAGTGTCGAGGAGTTCCACAAAATATACGTGGAAACAAAAATTATTGCGACAAATTTTGTATAGACGTTTCAGTGCCAAGAAGGATTGGTACGCAGAAGTGCAGGTCAAATGTAATGAGTTCGAACTCCAAATCCTTTTATAGAACTACATTGTTTGTCCCATATTTGGACGAACAATCTGTACATTTTCCAAGCAGATTTCTGAAAATGTTAAAGTAGTTAAAAATCTATCAGTAGTTCGAGTAACTGGTGATGAACTATATATTCTACTAATTACTTGTAAGCACCACTAGTTACCACTTCATGGCCTAGACTGATGAATTTAACATGGGTATGTTATTGGGGAAGTCAATTGTCCCTTGCCTGCCCTACGAGTAACCAGCCATTTTAGTAGTCAGAAATGATAGTGCATTAGCTAGTGAATTGTAGTCTATTAATTAGCTAGATACCACTGCTTAGTAAAATGCCTAGTTACTTATGTATAGCAAATTAGCTATTATAATAGTTTTGAAAATATTTTGTATAAAAGTTTTTCTTTAAATCTATATTTATTCGATATTTTTAATAAATTACATAATATTGCAATGACATTGTTTAACCTAATATATAGTTAAGTAACGAAGATTCGATTCATTCTTTACGTAGAATACCCGTAGTCCCTCGATATGTGGGCAGCTCTTCGATTCGAGATTTTTGATAGTCGCCATAGAAAATCTGTGAAAAATATAATTATGTATAAGAGCGAGGTTGTCTTTATTGTGCCACAATTTTAAGACGTACGTAACGTAAAACGGAATAAAAAACGGAATTCAAACTGACAATTGTATTGAAAATTCGATTCGAGATTTTTGATAGTCGCCATAGAAAATCTGTGAAAAATATAATTATGTATAAGAGCGAGGTTGTCTTTATTGTGCCACAATTTTAAGACGTACGTAACGTAAAACGGAATAAAAAACGGAATTCAAACTGACAATTGTATTGAAAATTCAGGAAATTACTAAAAAGCAAGGTAGATGTATAGGTAGTCGCATCGACCCAGTTGATTGTAACATTGAATGTCAAAACAAATTGAACATGAACTATATATGTCACCATTTGTGACATATATCACCATTTGTGACATCTTTGAACTTTATGTGGCCTCATAGCGATCGACCCCATATTGGATATTTCAGAACATACAATTCAAACTTAGCGATTTTTCAAATATAATCTATTTGACGCCGTAAATATTGAACGATTATTATGAAAACAGTTATATTAATTCGTAGGCCAGATCCACATCTCCGTAATTTCCTGGGTTTGGGTCATAATTGTCATAACAGATGATAAACGATATACAAAAATTTGAGTCTAATAGCCTAGACAGACGACAGCCTTAATTTGCATTAACAGCCTTAATTCAAATTAACTTGTACATTATTCTCATTTTTATGTGTTGTTAATGCACAAAATCAAACTGTATTTATACTGAATTAAGCAATTTCAATATGGCAATGCTGTCGAAAATTAATTGTTTCTTGTCAAATTTATTTATATTTTTGAAAATAAATATAAGAAATGAAGTCAAATTTCAACCATTTTTCGAATTGGGAGCTGTTTTGATAATATCATAGTTGCTATTCCTCCTTTATGTCATGTATATATTTCCTAAAGATGTAATCCCGAAAAATATCGAAACAAATGTAAGAAATTTTCATCCTACACACAGACAAACAATTGTTTTGAAGCAAAAAACTGTTTTGTAAATGCAGAAACTCTCGTCTGCCAGGGGTAAATATTAATTCAAATTAAGAAATATTTAATGCAAATTAAGGTTGTCGTCTGTCTATGGTATAAGAGTAGTGCAGCTACAAACTCTTGAGGCAACACTTAGTTTTAACATATATGTGTAGGGTATTAAAACATTTTGTTCTGATTGGTTGAATTAAATTTGCCTAAATTTTGAAATTTCAAGGCGAATTAAATTTTATTTGCCTTGTTTACAAATTTTGACATATGTTACCAAAAAAATTGCTTTGTTGTAGTAATTCGCCGATGCGACTACCAATATATGTGCATTGTTAAGAAGTCTAAAAAAAATGTTCTTTTTTTTGCAATAGTATATCCATTGGTAATCTATAAAATAGTCGATTCATTACCCTACGCATTACCAGTAACTACTGAATTGGTATGATTTGCTTAGACAACTTTTTCAATCGACAAATTATGATTATGTTTTATAACATTCATATACTCATATTTATTTAAGGAAAGGAAATTTTTACTTTTTAAATTTAACTCCAGCGGAGAGACTTTGGAAGTTAAGGAATGAAGAAGGTATGTTCTTGCATATGTGTGCAGCATGAAACAATGATCCCAGATCTATGCTGATTGACAGGGTTACCCTAACATATTCCTTTT